ACTGCCCTACCATCAACCTGGACAAGCTGTGGACACTGGTGAGCGAGCAGACCAGGATCAACTACAGCAAGAAGCCCGATGGACCCACCCCCATCAATGTTGTGCGTGCTGTAAGTATTGCCAAATGTTGTTAAATGTTATTAAAAATGTTCTCTCATTAAAATGTCTCTAATTAGCAGTTTTTGTCATAATAATTAGACCTTTCATTCAGTTAAAAGGACTAGATCACATCTTTATGGGAGTTCTTGTTGCTCTACTTTACTGTAGCTTGGAGTAGGTGGTGGCATGTCGACTTGCCATTTATATTTATTTAGAGTTTGTTTCGCCAATAGATCCTTCTGTGTCAATTTCAGTAATTACTTCCTCCAAACCACCAATGTGTCTTTTAGACCTCATTCCTACAAAACTGCTCAAAGAAGTTCTGTCATTTATTAATGCTTTAATCTTAAATGTGATCAATCTATATGGCTATGTAGCACAGGCCTTCAAGCTAGCAGCAGTTAAACCATTACTTAAAAAGCCATCTCTTGACCCAGCGGTCTTAGCTAATTATAGGCCAATGTCCAACCTTACTTTCAGGTTGGACATCCTTGAAAGAGTAGTTGTCAAACAGCTAACAGATCAACTGCAGAGGAATGGCTTATTTGATGAGTTTCAGTCAGGTTTCAGAGCTCATCACAGCACAGAAACAGCTTTAGTGAAGGTTACAAATAATCTTTTTATGGCCTCTGACAGTGGACTCATCTCTGTGCTTATCCGGCTAGACCTCAGTACAGTGTTCGATACTGTTGACCAAAATATTCTAATTAGAGCAATCAGAGCATACTGTAGGCATTACAGGGACTGTGCTGCAGGGGTTTGAATCATATCTAACTAATAGACTCCAATTTGTTCATGTAAATGGAGAGTCCTCTTCACATAGTAGTTATGGAGTTCCACAGGATTCCTTAATTCTGTTTACATTTTACATGCTGCCTGCAGAATCATTAGAAGGCATAGCAGCCATTTTCACTTCTACGCAGATTACTCCCAACTTTATCTGTCCATGAAGCCAGCAGGCTTAGATTTCCCGAGTGTGATGAACAGACAGGGACCCAGTGAAGTGCTTGCTCATAGGGGGTCATATGATTGTTGGGTTTTTCTCTGTACCTATGAAGCGCCTTGAGGTGACTTTTGTTGTGATATATAAATAAAATTGAATTGAATTGAACTAAATTGGGTTCAGGTTTTGGTGTCCCTCGGGTACATGCAGCGGGGTAGAAGTCGTGACAGGTGGCGGCGTGATGGCGGCGTGAAGTCCGCGGCAGGTGGCGGCATCCATGGCTGCACGAAATTGTAGAAATGGATGATTTCTGTAAATGTTAGATTTCCATTCATCTAATTGTAATTTTCATGAAATAAAAAGACATTGTACCAGAAACAGAAATAATGTTGTTATATTACATCACATAATTCTGTAAACAAACAAAACATTAGTCAACTTTTGTTTTTCAGTCACTGTACTTAAATTATCTAAAGAAAATATCTAAATATTTTTTTCTTCTGGATCTCAGAAGGATATTCATGTATTATTTTTGCATAGTGATTAGTTATTATCATTAGCTTGTGTTTTCAAATATATATTTGCTTGATGTAACATGAGAATTTAATTGCTAAAATACAAGTAGAACCCGTTTAATTCTATCAATGTCAGACTTTAATCGTATCACTTTTTTGTTAAATTCACAATTGTCTTCTTGGACTAAAAAAAAAGAAAGCAAATTTCCAGTTGACTCTTGTGTCGTTTCTATCATCAATCACCAGATGTCGCTATGGAATTATTGCACTTTGTATTGTTGGGGGCAAATCTCGCACAAAATCGCGTTCGTTCCGAATCCCGTTCCTCTTTCAACTAGCCTCCAAGATGGTAGGTTCTACGTTTTATCCCTGTGCATCCAAATTGGGTTAAATCTACTTCCATCCTTACTAACCTGTATAAAATAATCCACTTTAGATGGTGTCTTATAATACACTCATGTTGTAGGAATAAATGTTGGGTGTTATTACCGTTATTTACTCATTTTTGTGAGGACTTTGATGGGTTCACTGTGTGATATGTTGCTTCTCCTGGGCCTCGGCTCTAGCAGGGAACCTATAGTTTTACCCACACGCAGAAAAACATTTTTTTGACAACGGTAGTGAGAGTAAGGTAAATGTGCAAGGTGTTGGTGGTGTAACCCTGAAACAACCATTGGCATAAAGCGTTAAACCTGCCGGTAATGGTGGTTGAGCTAGCATTAGCCTCATACATGCTAAGCAGCATGCAAGTACTCGGACAAGCTCAGCGGTTTACTTTAGCGTTTTTGTGGGGAAAACATGCTATATATACTCACTTTATTACAGCTTCTTAGCAGACTAACATCACAGTCGACCTGCCGGATTGTTAAGTCTGTTACTTTGCTAGACGAGAGCTATTGTTTCAAATAAACCTCATCCTTTCTTTAACAATAACTGCAAAATATTTGCTGACAGCCTACCAAGAAGTCGAAGACCAGGAAACTCCGAGGACATGTCAGCCACGGACATGGTCGCGTTGGTGAGTATACTCTTTTTGACACAAGTTTTAATTGATTGTTTTTCATCCCCGGACGATATCGAAATGGAGTAAACGTTTACCGACTCTCTCCACAGGCAAGCACAGGAAGCATCCTGGAGGTCGTGGTAATGCTGGTGGCATGCATCATCACAGAATCAATTTCGACAAATAGTAAGTCACTCATAATGATATTAGTGAAATTTGAGTACAGTGTGACTACTGTAAAGTGGAACTCAAGTAAACCTGGCTTCCCTGTATTTGGCCATAAAGGTCTTTGTAAGGTAATATGTCTAAAAATACAAAGTATGCTTTTACCTCAGATATTTAAGTTAGATTATGATGTCCCTCTGTGTTGCCTGATATGATTTGGGGTGTTGTGTTGGATTCCTTTAGAGATAAAGCCAGGTTTTGTCGCTAAAGCAGTAGGGCTGAGTAATATGAGGAAAATCTAATGTCACAATATTTTTGGCTGTATCACAAAAAAAACTATTTTCAGCTATATAGAGCCTAAAATTGCACTGGTACACTCTTTCAAATTAACTGTTTTATATTTTTGACAATAATATATCTGAATGAATCGAAATGTTTGGTTTTTTTTTTTTTTTTTTACCATTTGTTGCACACAGAGGTTTTTGACAAATGACAATACTGTCACAGTAAGTCTCTTTCTGTGGTCAACACTAGATGTTTAACAAACAAAAGATCATAGCAACAAAAAGGGACATTGGCAAGAATTCACAAGACAAATTAAAACAATTGAGATTAGAAAGATGCTCTTTTGTTCTTATAACATAAAAATTGTAAACCAAAAAATGTGATGGCCTTACATTACAGGAACGAACATTTAGATAGTGGCTATAAAAACAACTAACCTACAACCGTCACAGGTATCACAGCTGGTTTATTTAACGTTTCTTTGCTGTGTGGGAGACGCTGACATGCAGGGTTTAAAACGTGTCAGCAGTGGATGACTTTTCAGCTGATGGAATAAATTTGTGGTACTTTTTGTGTCACTAGTTTTATGGCATGTCTTGCAAATTACCGTATTTTGTCTCCTTGTGAAATCCAAACAGTCTCATTGCCTTGCTCCTCTGTAACTCCGGCTGTCGCCATATTTTTCCTTATCAGGAAGTAAACACGCATGCTTGGCGCAGGTAGAAATTTTTCCGGTTGGGAGGGGGGATTAATGATGCATTTGCAGCGTGTGGGAGGAAAAAAAAACTGACAGTGAATTGCATGCAGACAGCTTTATATTGCAGCAATTTCAACTTTTTAGGTTTTACAGTAATAGTTTATTTATTGTGTACTATAGAGCTTGCTGTAATATATAACAAAATTAATTGGCGGCAAATTCAGCAAGTCCCTCAACCTGTAGATGGACTCGAGTTACATCAGCTGAGTTGTGGCTGCTGACAATATTCCCTGTTCTGCTCCGCAGCCTTGGTTAGCTACAGCAGAACAAGGACTACTGTCACTGTAGGGCAGTGGAATTGGAGTGTACCTCACACAGGCAGAAGAGAGTTGAGGTAGCTGATTGAGATGCCACCACAGCAGCTTGGCCAGTCTTTCTGTAGATTAATACCTAAACAGCTGCGTTTTCAAAGAAAGAGTAAAGATTTCATCCAGTAAATCAGAAACATGGTAGACCATCCCCACTACAGAGCTTATTTACTCAGCCCAAGTCTACTTGGTGAAAACTGCCATGCAATATATTATTGAAAGATATGGAGAGCAGTGCACTGATACTGGGTATTATGAACACAAAGAATTTATTGAACTTTCTCCCAATTTGGGAACTGTGCTCATCTGTGGAACACATTTATGCAAGGTTAGTTCTGCTGTCCAGTTAAGAGATGTGCTGATTAGTTTTTATCTGCTTGTAAAAAAGGCTGTAGGAAGAGAAATGCATTTATCTAATGTTTCTATAGAGACTAGAGTCTCATCTTGACAGACTTCATTGTCTTGGTGTGCTTGAGTCCTCTTAGATTAAAGACTGGTCCTACTCACCGACTGGCCTCTCCTATAGTCCAGTCATCCACATGGGCAGTTACAAACACTCTAATACACATTGCTGATGCACCCATCACATTAGAATTGGGGCTGTAGTTTATAGTATTCCACTAAATTTGAATGTCAAAAGTGAACTTCAATTAAACGTTAATATTTAAAATATTAGTGTTTGTTGCTCTAGTTTGAA